TCTACCTTCATGAAGGATTAGCTGTCACTTCAAGCCCTCCAGCCACCTGGAACATGGAAATTCCATTTACATAAATTCAGGGCCCAGGTTGTTTCTCTGCTCTCGCTGGCTGTCATAGCAGCCTAATTCATGGGTGGTCACGTCAGCCCTTCACTTCGCATGGTGCCTTCAAGTTACAAACAGCAAACACAAAGCTGAAGAAGAGAAAACACATTCTTCAATCTGGCACTGAACAACAGGCATATGAAAACTAAGGAATTTTTTATAATCAGAGGGGTTTTAAAGAGCGAGTAAGCTACACTGAAAATAATTTACACAAATAAATAGATAGTTCTTCCTCTCTAATGCAGATTTTCATGGAAGCCACTTTTACCCTGTAGTCAACCTCTGGAAAACCATTGGTACCTTAGGGATCTTACTAGCTGTGTTCTACTACAGGATGGATTATTTAAACATTTCAACCTTGGATTAAACTCCTTGGGAAGCTTCAAATGTTGCCTTTCCACACCAAACAGAATCCAAATCAATTGTTGGCATAAACAGCAGTCAAGCTGCCTTCTCTTCTTTCCAGAAGAATTAGGTCCAATGGGACTTAGCGATCGTAGTTTTTTCCACCACACCTTCCAGCTCAAGACTTCCCACCAAGCAGCCACCCATTTTTTGTGGGCTCCAGCCCTGGTACAATTCCCAAGAGGCTCAATCTCAAGCCTAGGAAGGCAAGGGTGTTGGTCCAGCTTCACTCTGGGACATGGCAAATGAGTCTCAGAAATCAGCAGGAATTCATTTTATGCAAACCTGACATGAATTTGACCCTTTTTGAATTTCAATGCAACTGTCAGAACTCTTATATTGCAGCTGCCTTCTCCTCATTTAGTGCATAGCTCAAAAACTAATATTACCCATCTATTAGCATTTCACAGTGAGTTATTTGTTTAGTAGCAAAGAAAAGTGATTAAAATATACAAATGGTGAAAATCACCTTCTCATCCCTGCACTGCTGTATAATTCATGCTGAAGAACAAATGAGATTATAGCTCAGGGACTGTCTTCAGGATGAGTTACATTTGTCCCATTTCCCATTCCTGTTATAATCTTTGTCAAGACAGTAGAATGATATGTCCCATTTGCTGTCCCCTTCACAATATTTGTCAGACTACTGCAATAATATAGTTGCTGGATACCCATATATACATCATGAATTATTTGTTGATGTAAGGAAAGTGTTCTTGCATTCTCTCTGAGTAATCTGTCCTTCTCTTTCAATCCAAAAGCAGGTACTGAGCAACATTATTTCTTTCCACTGCTTTCAGGGTGAGATTTTTTTGTTTGGAGAGATCCTTTTGTTTGGAAGTGGTAAAAGAGGAGAGGGTATGCAGCAGAATGGCAGACGCAGTGGATCACTTTGCTAATTGCAAGGAGAGATCCAGGTGCTGGCAGAGACCGAAACTACTAATACAATATCACCAGCCCTAAAGGGCAAATAATTGCAACAGATGAATCACTGTTCAATAAACACACCATTAGAACAGCCTCTACCCCAGAGCAAACAGCTTTAAGAAAACTTATCTTCTTATACAAGCATTTGAGCAGGATTAATAGTCATCAACTAACAGCTTTTCTTAACTAATGTCAAAAATGGATATGCTCCATTTGATCTGATAGGACTGCTGCTGAGTAAATGCAAACAGGAAAATAAAATGAAAAAACGAACGCATGACAAGTGGATGCAATGTTTCAAAATTAATGGGAAAAAGATGGAACAAATATTATACTGTTTAGCTTGCACTACTAAGAATGCCTCACATGGCAGGAGTCACATTGACAGGAGGGTCAAGTGATTACCTTAAACAAGCAATCTTGTTATTTTAGGGGTTCAGTTTAAAAACCTACCTGCCACTTGGTTGGAAACTGTGCGAGAACAGGATCACTCCTGTCATCATCAATGCATCTTGAGCCTGACTGGACAGGAAATTAAGTGGTTTCAACGCTGGGCCATGGTTGGGAAGTGCAGCTCCAGGCTGACTCCTGAAGGAACTCCTCTCATCCACGGTGGGACTCACTGGAGCCAAGGTACCATGCAGCAGGAGTCAGAGCTGCTCCCACCCTCCCACTCCTTAAGTCCAGGATGACTAAATGCAAACTTTGAAAACAAGGAGGTGAAGGCAAAGGGTAAGTAGAATGTGATCAGAACCAGGACATACAGAGATAAGGGGGAATCCCAGTTCTACAACCCCAGAGTTGCTCAGGCAGCTTAGCAGCAGATGACCCAGTGAGGGTACCATGAGGTACATAAGCAGGTACCCATCATGAGCATTCATGGCTGTTTCTGTCTGCCAGCAGCAATCTGCAAAAGTAATTTACAGGGTGAGCTGCAGCTGTATAGAGGAGATGGTTTTGCTTCACCCTGGGTACACCAAAAGCAGTTGTGTTGCAATGCTGCTGCTGGTGCCGGCCACACTGGAGAGAACCCAAAGGAGTGTACCAGAGAAGGGAAGAAGCCCAGCTGAACCAGACTGACAGCAGAAGAAAAGCTTAGCTTTAAGCATTCCACCTGTGGCAGGAAGACATCACAGGAACTGGACAGTTTATGATGTATGCTATATCACAGGGCTATAAGAACAACCTTTGTGTTCCAACCTGAAGGTCCTTCCAGTGCAGTTCACTGTCAGGCCTAGGTTTGGCAGGGCTGGAAGCAGGGACTCCAGGAATATGCTGGAACTAGTATGGACACAGAACATGCAACAAAGCAACCACACAGAAAGAGCACAAGAATATGCTGCCCCCTCAACAGTAGGGAAGAATGAAGTGGCCAGCCTAGCATGCTGGGGAGGAGGGACAAATGTACCAGCAGAAAGCCTGGTCAAAAGCAGCAGCAAGCTCGCTGAGAAAAGACAATCTCTCTATGACTTCCAATATAACAAACCTGCTTATGGAGAGGGTGAAGGGAACTTACCACTGATAAATCCTGATTAGGAAACACATTTGTTCCTCCCAAGTGAAAGAGCCAAGGGGTTCACTGTAATACATATTTCTGCAGCAAGCAATTGATAACACATGACAGCTAACAATTAACAATAGAGACTTGGCCCTCCACAGAGAGAGAGAGAGAGGCAGCCAACAGCAGGGTGGCCAGGGCAGCCACAGGCACAGAATGGGTTGCAGACCTTATTTGACCCACACACTCAGCAGCTCAGGGGCTTCCTCTCTGCTATAAATGACGCAGAAACCATTTTAGCTCTTTCTTAAACTGAATGTCATGAGACAGCTGCGCACTCACTACATCTTTCTTCAAGATGTTTGCAAGCTTAAGAATCCTAAATGATAAAGAAATCAAAAGAGGGAGACTATCATTCATGCCACTCACAAAAAAATTAACTTTTCTCACCTCACAAACAGAAGCAGCAATATGGCAGTCACATTTGTATTTTGAAAGAAAACAGTAACAATAATGCTGTCATTTTTTTCAGAGATTATGAATTCTTCAAAGATACTTTTTTATTGCTGTTTTAAATATGTATCTCCAAATGTGAAATACAGACATGAACACTGTGTACCAGATCAAGAAAAAAAACAGCAAAATAGATACAACTGTGACAGTGACCAGATGCCTGAAGTGAATAGGAATAGAGAAAGCATAAGGAAACTAATTCATCTCTCTAATACCACCCTCCCAGCACCCACCTTTTTTCAGCTCCAGAGGTGTCCTCCCTGTCCCAAAATTTTCTTCCCTAAATCATAATTTTTCAGTTAGCCTGTTCATGTGAGAGCAAGATTATAGTCAGCTGTCAATAATTTTCAGCAATGATCCGGAAGGATTTCTTATTTTAGATTAAGTAGGGATACTTCATACTGATTAAATTTGCCATGAGCCAAATACCAAAAACCAAAAAATAACCAAAAAACACAAGTTAGGCTTAGCAGAAGCAAAACACTGCCTTAGTTTTTGCACATGTCAGTCAGACAACAAAGTAGGAGAAGGAAATCAATGAGCATAGACTCCCCAATGAGAGACGGTTTTGCATTTGCTGCTCTTTACAAAAAGTGTGTAGGTTGTTGTCACTTTCATACACTTTGAAAGCAAGACAAATTATTCAGATCTTTATTCATGATTAAATACCTTATTAAGGTATTTCCCCTTGTTAGGTACAGCAGTTGTGTTTATGCAAAACCAGAAGAAGGTATGAATTCCCAGGAACCATTGTGGGGTTTCACAATGTACTGCACAAGGAAAGCAGGCAGTTGCATAATTATTCCAGCATGACATGTTCATGCATAAAATTAGGCCTTCTCTCCAAGCACTGTCTGTCAATAAGCCCTGCAAGTCTACAGGAGAGCTGTTCCTAACACATTCAATTTTACCTATCAGTATGATGTCCAATTACTTGGGAAAGGGTGAAAGACTTTATGCCACATCTAAACATGACAGACATAACCTTTAAGTACTGGCAAATGCCAAGATGTTGCTGGCGGTAGGCATTCTGAACATGTTTGTGTTTTTCTTGGTACATGATTTCCCTTTTTTTTTTTTTTGAGATAAATGTAAATTGTTAAATATTTTAAAATCCTGCATTATCACATCACACAAGAAGCAAGTTTAGAAAGCAGAAGGAAGTTTTAAACTACCTAACATTTTCTAATGCATTTAATGTAATGTGAGTTTTGTTCCTTCCACTGGTACCAAATTAGCCCTTCCCTGATCCCTTGTTTCAGTACACAAGTACAAAGTTATAACTTCAACAGTAGGTCCAATCAGTGAGCCCTGCACAAAACTAAAAAAAATCCAAAGAAACAAAAAAAAAACCAAAAAACCTAAAATAATTTTGTTGTATTATTCTTAGTAAAACACATCAAAGCCTCTGTTCCATTTCCAAAGGGTAAAGCTGATCTGTACCTCACAAATCTTTTGAAAGAAGCCAGCATGTCTTCCTTCTTAATACCTCCCAGCAGGGAGCACAACAGCAGGTCTAGTTTATCTTAATTATCTGTCTTTATCTCCATAGGAGAGGAGATTACTGCCAGTGTGTTGCTGGCTAGAACAGAAGAAGCCAAAGAGCACAAGCCATTTCCCGTTTTCCACAACTTCTCTCACAGCTCAGGTAACTGCTGATGGAAATACTGATGGAAGGAGTGAGGACCAGGAGAACGATACTTCTGTTGTTTTGGGTTATGCATTGCAGGTGAAAGTGCATGGTCAGAGTCAGAGTGTGTGTAGAAGAAAGAAAAAAGTTTCTCTTTGTAAAGGAGCATTTTATCCTTGCTTACCACATTGGAAAACAACAAAGAGAAAGATGGCTGCAGCCACTGCGCCAAAAAGAGAGAGAGATAGAGTGAGAGTATAAGGGATATGTACAGAGTGGACAAAATGTGGCTTTCAAAATGTTAATTTTGTAGGGTGGTGTGTAGGGTAGTTCTTTTTGCATTAGAGAATTTAACTTTTTGAAAGTTATTACCTCTATGCAACACCATACTGCTGCTTCTCTTCCAGCTAGCTTAAAGAGCAGGGGTTTATGTTCCAGGGAAGGTGTTGTGGCATTTGATTTGAAGCCCATGGCTTATTGGAAATTGCAGTTCTGCTGCTTTTTGGCAATTTTGGTTGATCTTTTTTAGTATTGTGGTTGACTGTGTAACTAATGTGCCCTGGTTTTAGGTTCTTTGCTATAAGGAGAGCCCAATTCTGTATTTCAGCAGAACATCATAAACTGCCTTAGGAGTCTGATATGCTGCTCAGAGAATTTGATGGGGAATAGAACAAGATTCTCTTATGATTCCTAGCACCTAATTACTGAATCACAAATAAGATTGTGACATAAATCTGAGTTACCATTTTCTTGTATGCTTTGCTCATCTGTGCTGGTTTTTCCAAGACTTTCTCTTAACTCTTTATGGCCCTGAGGAGCAATCTTTTTTAGCATCCGTTGCATCTCGATCAGAACTCATAACTTAGCAGTAATTTCCAGAAATGTTAATGGAAATATTTAGCATATAAGGCTCAACAGGAATACCTTGGAGAGGTAAAATAGACAATTAGAAGTCTTCCAGTTCATCCCAAAAATTTACCTCTCACTGACCTTATATCTGCTTCACATACTAAATAAACATAAACACAAACACAAAATCACTGCCTTACTGGCCTAATCTGGATTATTATTATTGCTCTTCCTCTGTGTATTATTTTGTACAAGAAATTAAAACACAGATCAGTCACCTTTTGCTGCCTGTTTCATGTGATGTGTAGTTACTGATGGTGAATAATTTTTCCTTGACTTTAGGATCTGTATGATTGTGCTCATCTCAGCCTGTCAGATGAACTTTGAGGATTGTGACAATCTGCAGGTCTCTGTTATACAGCAGGCTGTGGATAGTACTTCTTACCCTTGCTCTAACTCTTACATTAAGGCACAGCCAGTGGACTGGGTCATTGCTAAAAGGGAAGCTCTGGCCCTAAGGTTCCCCAGTTTAAAGTGAAACTGTAAGTTGACCATAAAGCAAAATCAATGTTGATGAGTAGCTTCTCCTTTATCTATGTGCAGCAAAGTGTGGATTTACAGGACTGAAGTCAGCAGGAAATCCTTTCAATCAGCTTTAAAAAATTTAGCCAAGAATTCTTTCCTAGCAAACTTTTGGCAGCATGTGCACAGCCTTCTGGTTTATAGTGAAGGATGAAAAAAGAAGATACCAGTAATACTACTAATAATAATATATTAATTTCAAAAGCTGGCAAGTTTCCTTCCTCCAAATTAGGAAGAACCCTTGAGCCAGCTGGACAGTCTGAATCCTGGATATCAATGCTCTTTTCCAAGACAGAAGTAATTTGATAATTTATTTCAAGCATAAATCTTTGTCTATTTGAAATATGATTTATATCTTCTGGCTGTCTGTAAAAAAAAACGTATCTGAGAAAGACCTCAATTCGAATGGGTCCTTCAGGACAATACAGCCGATAAATTCGAGTGATGATCATTATGACTGCTTTAATAAGCTGTAAAACTCCAACTGTTGGCATGTAACCAACAAGTGAAATGGTTGCCTGTTTTACTGTTCCGGGGATTCCACAAAAATCTGACAAATGTAAATTATATTCTGAAACCTGTGTTTGAAGTTCCAGCCATACAAGCCTCCAGGACTAGTGGCCCAGTGTTTGAGCATGGCTTTTATGCAAGAAAGCATGGGAAGATTTCATAGCAGAGACAGTTATGAGAGTTTCTGATTAGAAAATATTCATACCCAAAATATGTACTCACCTGCAGTTTTCTAATGATGGCCCAAACAAATTACTGACTTTCTGAGCTGTTCTCCTGTGAAAAATGTAAAGTGAAGGTAGAAAGGTGATTCAAGCATGGCATTTTTCTTCTGAAGAAATAGAATAGGGGTAGCAAATGTGCATCTCTTTCATTGAGTTTTGGCTGATGTGGTGGTCTGTGCTTGGTGAACGGTATTAAAGGAAAGACTCTATTTTGTATCATACTTGCGCAAATCTTCATTCTGTAAAAAGACAAAACATGCATCACTTGTATTCATGTTTCATGCTCAAGACTGTTAAACAGCAGTTTTTGTTGTGCCAGATTTATTTTTGTTGCTGTCTTTTGTTATTGTAGATATTACAACAATGTTGCAATAATTTTCACTGTACTCAGAGCTGGAGAAATCCACCTAGGCACAATCACCAAGAACCATTTTCTTAATCTACCCCTGTGTGAATGGAAGGTATGGTACAACCCCACTAAAACAGGGGAAAAAACATCCATATTGTGCAGTTTCTGTTTTCCTCTCCCATCCAAGGCCTATTTTCTTTCGTAAACAGCTCAATGACACTTCCAAACAGCTGTATGTTTTCCTTTTCTCTAGCTAGATTCTTCGAAGCAATCAGAATTCTGCTGCAGCATTAAATCTAAAATATAAGAATAAATAAAATGAGCATTTCAGCTACAAGCAGTCTTTGCTCTTTCATTGCAGTATGGCTCCCATCCAAAGCCAATTATGTAAAACAACAGCACCTCGACACCATTACCACAGCCATCTAAAGGGAAGAATTGCACCTACTCAAAGCTGAAAACATTTTCAAGAAATTTAATTATTTTCTTACTTTCTCGCCTCAAGCATGCTTTTTACCTTACTTCACTCTAAAACGCCTTGGGTGTTATTCAGCTAGAACATATGGAGCACTATATAAATCCAAGTTGTTGCTAATTTTACTTAAAAGTCAGGTTTTATTTTTTGTTTTTACTTCTGCCTGTTTACACTCCTTGAAACATCTTTTGCATTGCTCCAGATGTCGCTTCTCACAGTGCATCGTCTTTTGTACATGTTAATCTTGCTTCTTCAGTACTTGTGATTTTTTGCTTCATACAGTATTAGAGATAAATGCAATGCCAAAAATTAATTGTCAAAGAAAATAGAAAAATTATTTAAGTTAATGCCTTAAATTCAGTATCAATTAATTTTAATGGTCAAAACCTTTTCATCAATTTATGAAACTGTGTAGATCATGATTTCCAAAGGAAGAAGTGACTCTGAGACAGGTCTATATAATAGAGAAATTTCTCTTTGTTTTACAGCTTTCTGTCTTTTACCTATTGTGGAAATAATTTGTGGCTTTTTGTTCTCATATTAGGCTTTCAATGATCTCAGTCAAGAATTCCAAGAATACTGATAAGAACTGCTGGCAAAGCATGTTCCCTGCTCTGCAGTGGACTATAAGACAGAATAATCGAAACATGATTTACTCTCAGATATGGTACTAGTGGACTCTCTAGAATATATATCAGAGTTATATCCTGGAGGCACGGTGAGTTGTTAAATATTGGCCAAAGTAGTGGTGGTCTTCTGGAACGTTTTCATTCAAAAACTGGGGTGCCCAGCAGGCTGTATTCATTTCCAAAGAGAATTCTTCAGAATGAAGTAATTTTGAGTATTATATTGAGTAATTTTGGGTATAGTTTTGAGTATAAACAACACAATTCTTTGCATAAATACTGATGCTGTTTCATGTGTGCACTAATACTTCCTAAATGAAAAATAGCTAAAATGAAAGGACTGAATGATTTCTTCACTCTCAAGAAAAGACATAGTGTTTTGTGTCCTCCCATATCTTGGTTTGTAGTGTGGAAATGCTACGTAAAAGGGTAAAAGGAAATAATATTTTTCTGTTTTATGTGTACCCTTTCAGTCTATACACTCTAGGTGAGGACTTCACCTGCCTCCAAATTCTCTCAGGTAGCTGGCACCCCAGAAATCACAAACATTGCTTGTTCCTGATCAGAGTTATTACCTTACTGTTTTTGAGACTGTGGCTAAAAATAATTTCCTTTTAATTAATTTTTTACTCCTGTATGTACATTTCTTCACTAACATGAACTGAGAACTGTGAATGAAAGCAGTCATTTGGATGCAATCTCTTTGACTTAGGCATGTGATCAGACAATCCCTAAGAGTTGCTGAAGGGAAGGGGAAGTGGGAAGACAAGAACAGGAAGAAGACAGTGGAGGGCACATGGGTCTATACACAGGATTAGGGAAACTATAAGCAGAGGAATAGATCTTGGCCCTGCAGCACAGATTTTTTTCTTAGAAAGCAAATTATTAATGCAGTATAATGCCGACCTGAATTATTCTTGACATCATGGAAAATAATAAATTGGTAGACAAATACAAATTTTGAAAGAATAAAATACATACTTCATTCTAAAGCATGTGTGTTTCTATAAATTGAGGTTGCAGTGCTAATTGAGAAAAGATAAAAAATCTGGAACTTAAGAAGCTTCTTTGGAAGCTTCCCCTCATTGAACCACTGCTTATACTGACCTTGTGTCTCCACATCTTGTCTTGATACTTGGGCATTGCTGAAAAGAATGGCAAGACCACCACTGTGCTCAAAAGCACTGGAATCATAAATAGTCTCTCTGGAGTCCCTCAGTAGGGGTGTGTTGATGCCTGCTTACACTAAAGTCCAAATTTTTCACCTCATGATTTTAGTGAAGACCCATGGAAAAGAACAGAGCAACAGCCCCTACCTTTCAGTAGCACCATGTTAGGAGGTTGACAAGCAAATGTAAAGTAAACGTATTAGGAAAAGCAAATGTAAATATATTAGGAAGAAGGAAGTAATGGGGAGGAAAGATGTTTCAAGATTTGTTTCTATTTTCACATTATCCTACTCTGATTTGATCACTAATAATTTAAATAATTTCCCCAAGTAGATACTTTTCTGCCCATGAGAGTAACAGGTGAATAATCTCTCCTTGTCCTTATCTCCCTGTCCTATACCTGTCTTTTCA